CTAGCCCCCCCCCCCCCCACCACCACCACCCGTTCCCCCCCACAGGCGCCCGTCCTCAAGATAACCAAGGTCGTGGCCGACGGGCTGCACAGCCCGCTCACCATGCACGGCGGCTGGCCGGTCGTCGACGGCGTCGCGACTTCGTACAACAGCGCGGCCGTCGTCGCGCGCAACAAGTACCTCGTCCCGCTCGTCGAGGCGGTCTGCCCCTCCCTCGGCCGCCTCGTCGTCGCGTTTGCGAACCCCAAGACGATGCACTACATCGATGGCCAGGTGCCCTGCGCGAGCAATCCCTCCTCCCTCCCTCTCTTACTTGCACTCTCCGACTCGCTCTCTGTCTCTCTCGCTCCCGCTAGGTGGTCGAGCCCCTCTCCTCCCTCGCTGCGGCCGCCCTAGCGGCCGCTGCCTTTGCCGCGCGCGAGATGTTGGCGGGCAAGTGAAGCGGTCCTCCAGCTGAGGGAGGGTGAGAGGATGTAGAGTGTAGAGCACTGTAGAGCTGTAGAGATGCAGAGCGCGCTGAAGAGCGCTGGAGAGCTTGAGCACTTGATCGCGAGTGGAGCTCTACATCCGGCGTGAAGAGCGATGTGGAGCGGAGTGGCGCGATTTACTGTGTTTTCACTGTGAGAGCAACGTGACCCTCCGTACGTTGCATTTTCTCAACGTTTGAATGAATAAAACGGACACGCCAAGCGAGGGTGGGAGAAGGACAGGGTCCCCACCGGCACGAGCATGATCTTGAAGAAAGAAAAAAGAATTTTACAACAAAACTCCCTCGCACAACGGGACGAGGCACGGGACGAAAAAAGAAAACCGCGGGGAGTTTAGGAAATCGGAGGACGCGACCCACCTCGCCCCCGACGGTCCCGCGCCTCGCCGCTATGACGGCCACACGACCGCGGCTCGTGTGCGTGTGGCCGTCTTTGTCCGGAGTGAAAAGTCCAACGCGCTCGTCGGTGACGGTGTCCCTCAACCTGCGCCACGCTCGGCGAACCTCGACAGCGCCTTCGGTGGCATGCAGCTCTTTGCGCCTGAAGCTTGGAGAGAGCTCCTCTGCTGCTCACACGCTCTGCACAGATGGCAAAGCCTACTGTGCGGCTACCACAGCTGTGACAGCGATGGGCTCGCCCTCACTGGCCCTCAGTCACTTGTGCTGCGGCTTGTGTGAGCGACACTGCTCGACGACTGCCGGCACACTGTGAGAGCATGGGTGTGAGGTAAAACCACGCTACCAGCGCTTGGTCACATCAGCCCTGAGGTCATATCCTTCTCCTCTGTTGATGGTAACACTTGTCTACTCGCTGGAGCCGAGCAGAAGGGCTTGGCGCACAACCCCTGTGCAACTCAGGGTCCTTCCCCCTTATCTTGGAAGGTAACGGCGGCGGAGGCGGAGCCGCTCTCGGAGCGCCGCCCGAGCCGAGCAGGAGGCCGCGGGCGTAAAACTCGAGGTCCATCTCCGCCGCACCCTTGACGCGGACGGACGACGGCGCCTCTGCGGCGAACGCTAGTGCTGCGGGTGCCGGCAAGAGAGGCAGCAGCCCGACTCAGGAGCTGGCGGCGAGTGGCGGCGGGCGGCGACGGCAGGCTGAAAGCAGCCAGCAAGCTCAGGAGCCACATCAAGGCTAGCGATGGTCGAGCGAGGCCGAGCTGGGTACCCACCTATTGTAGGGCGTTTTGGCGCGAGTCAGAGGCAACAGACCCCCTATGGAGCCGGAACCCTGACGTGACCCCAAAAGAATTCAACGACACCAGCTGACAAAAAGAATTCGATCAGCTACATACAGCACTCAATGAAGCTGAGTATCCTGCTGCCGATCGCCGTGCGCGCGTTCTCGACGACGCCCGACATCAACGAGTGCAATGGGTAGTACCCTGCCGATCCGGCGACGTCCCGCTACGACTACTCGGAAGACGGGACCGCCTGTGCGGTGGTCTCAAGCGAGCCCTAGTGGGGCGGGCTGCCGCCTTGCCAGTGCGAGTCGTGTGGCTGCACCGCGGATTGCTGCAAGGTCGAGATGCCGGATCCGGACGCCGAGATGTGCAACGGTGCGTCGCTGCCCAAGCCGCTATCGGACTTCCGTTCTCGGTTGAAGCGTAATTATGCATATGCGGATCTGCTCGCGTCCTACTAGGTGTCTCGTACCCGGACTCCACCGACCTCAACACGAACTACGAGTACGAAAACGACGGCTCGGGCCTAAACAAACAGACAAGACATCGCCCGCTGCTAGTGAACACAATCGGTTCCTACAAGACATCACTCCGCTACTGCTAGTGAACACAACTGCAGGATGCCCCCTCTACTCGGAGCTAGTGGACATTGCACTGTACACCACGAACAAACAGACACTTGCTTAGTCCCCGGTCCCGGGGTTCCACCGTCCGTCCTCCCGGGGCTCCGGTTCTCCCCGATTCGCTTGGGAGCATGCCAGTTGGCCACGGCAGCGTTCTATTTGTCGCTCTTGACGGAAGGCGGCCGCCGTCTTAAACAAATAGCCTAACGAGGAAATAGACGGCTGCGCCGCCAAGAAGCAGGGCAGCGATCGTACCGCCGATGATGATGCCAAGCATGGCGCCGTTACCGGCGTCGGCGAAGAAGGGAGGAGGGCTTGGCGAAAGCAGCGGAGGTGCTGACCACGGCGCTGCGGGTGGCGAGCCAGCCGTGAGCTCCAGCGAATCTCGCAGCTCATAAGAGTTGAGCTGTCGGCACGCATCGACCACTAGAGATCGGGTGCAATCGTTTGCAAGTGCAGCGGCGTTGCCTTGGGCGCACG